GGGCCCGCACTGCCCCGCGGGCAGTGCCCGCCGCGCTCGGGACGACCGGAGTGCAGTCCACCCGCCTGATAATAGTCAGGAGGGGGAAAAACACACACAGACACAGACACAATGAGTCGTCGATGCCCAGGAAAATATACATTCGGGGGTGGACAGAACCCCCAACAGTGACACGTCGATCAGTGAATGGTCCGTTTTCGGTTCTCGCGAGGGCGCCGTGGCCGTTATTTTCCAGGCTTGCGCCCGCCAGGTTTGGGCCTCAGGTCGTTTTCACTAAACCACGTTTTACTAAAGGGGGGTCTGTCCATCCCCGACACATGGGAAATATGGGAAGTGGGGGGGGAGGATGAAAACCCAGGAACACAGTCCACCCGCCTGAGAATACGGATGGGCAGCTTTCCCAAGGGTCAAGTCGGGCCTGTCCCTCTACAGGAGGGATATTCGAAAATAGTTGTAAAATTATGCTAACGGAGTTCCCCATATAAAGAGATTAACGGTTTCGTGGGGCCCACTTTCTTGATGCCCTCCTCGCTTTGGCGGGGCCCCGCTTGGAAGGGGCACGAAACCTTGTAAATAGCATGGTATTCCGATACCCTCCTCGCTCAGGCGGGGCCTCCCTGGAGGGGTGGGAGGGGCACGAAACCATGTAAATAGTATGGTATTCCGATACCCTCCTCGCTCAGGCGGGGCCTCCCTGGAGGGGTGGGAGGGGCACGAAACCATGTAAATAGTATGGTATTCCGATACCCTCCTCGCTCAGGCGGGGCCTCCCTGGAGGGGTGGGAGGGGCACGAAACCATGTAAATAGTATGGTATTCCGATACCCTCCTCGCTCAGGCGGGGCCTCCCTGGAGGGGTGAGGGGCACGAAACCATGTAAATAGTATGGTTTTCCGATACCCTCCTCGCTCAGGCGGGGCCTCCTGGAGGGGTGGGAGGGGCACGAAACCATGTAAATAGTATGGTATTCCGATACCCTCCTCGCTCAGGCGGGGCCTCCCTGGAGGGGTGGGAGGGGCACGAAACTATGTAAATAGTATGGTATTCCGATACCCTCCTCGCTCAGGCGGGGCCTCCCTGGAGGGGTGGGAGGGGCACGAAACCATGTAAATAGTATGGTATTCCGATACCCTCCTCGCTCAGGCGGGGCCTCCCTGGAGGGGTGGGAGGGGCACGAAACCATGTAAATAGGCAGAATTATTCGGTACTCCGTATACCCTTCCGATACACCTCCTCAGGCGGGGGGCCCTCCCTCGAGAGGGGTGTCACCACCCCATACCCTCCTCGCTCAGGTGGGCCTCCTGGAGGGGGGGAGGGGCACGAAACATGTAAATAGTATGGTATTCCGATACCCTAGTAGGGGTGGGAGGGGCACGAAACATATAGTATGGTTTCCGATACCCTCCTCGCTCAGGCGGGGCCTCCCTGGAGGGGTGGGAGGGGCACGAAACCATGTAAATAGTATGGTATTCCGATACCCTCCTCGCTCAGGCGGGGCCTCCCTGGAGGGGTGGGAGGGGCACGAAACCATGTAAATAGTATGGTATTCCGATACCCTCCTCGCTCAGGCGGGGCCTCCCTGGAGGGGTGGGAGGGGCACGAAACCATGTAAATAGTATGGTATTCCGATACCCTCCTCGCTCAGGCGGGGCCTCCCTGGAGGGGTGGGAGGGGCACGAAACCATGTAAATAGTATGGTTTCCGATACCCTCCTCGCTCAGGCGGGGCCTCCCTGGAGGGGTGGGAGGGGCACGAAACCATGTAAATAGTATGGTTTCCGATACCCTCCTCGCTCAGGCGGGGCCTCCCTGGAGGGGTGGGAGGGGCACGAAACCATGAAAATAGTATGGTATTCCGATGCCCTCCTCGCTCAGGCGGGGCCTCCCTGGAGGGGTGGGAGGGGCACGAAACCATGTAAATAGTATGGTATTCCGATACCCTCCTCGCTCAGGCGGGGCCTCCCTGGAGGGGTGGGAGGGGCACGAAACCATGTAAAGAGTATGGTATTCCGATACCCTCCTCGCTCAGGCGGGGCCTCCCTGGAGGGGTGGGAGGGGCACGAAACCATGTAAATAGTATGGTATTCCGATACCCCTCCTGCTCAGGCGGGCCTCAGGAGGGGGGTAGGGCACGTAACCCATGGGCCGATACCCTCGCTCAGGCGGGGTCCCTGGAGGTGGGGGGCACGAAACCATGTAAATATATGTTTTCGATACCCTCCTCGGGTCTCCCTGGAGGGTGGGAGGGCACGAAACCATGTAAATAGTATGGTTTCCGATACCCTCCTCGCTCAGGCGGGGCCTCCCTGGAGGGGTGGGAGGGGCACGAAACCATGTAAATAGTATGGTTTTCCACCCTCCTCGCTCAGGCGGGGCCTCCCTGGAGGGGTGGGAGGGGCACGAAACCATGTAAATAGTATGGTATTCCGATACCCTCCTCGCTCAGGCGGGGCCTCCCTGGAGGGGTGGGAGGGGCACGAAACCATGTAAATAGTATGGTTTCCGATACCCTCCTCGCTCAGGCGGGGCCTCCCTGGAGGGGTGGGAGGGGCACGAAACCATGTAAATAGTATGGTATT